ACAAAATAAGCTTAAATTGGAACTTCGACAGCTAGAACTGGAGCCGAACATAGAGGAGATTCATTCTAAATTTAATAAGGAGCTAGTAGCAGCCACATACACCCTTCAGGGCAACATAGTTCCCAAAGCTTGGTGGAACGAAACCTTAGCGAAAACCTTTCGTTTGCTAAAATATGCCTCTAAAAAATGTAAGAACTACCCAACACCACAAAACTTTGAAGCGTGTTTAGAACAAAAAAAACGTGGAAGGAGCAAGTTAAAAAAAGCAAAAAAATACTAAGCTTTGAAGGTAAAGTTGAAGAACTGAACAATGACCCTACTACCAAACAAGCCTGGAAATTCGTAAAGGCTATGAGAGGTGATTTCAAGCCCGGAACGGTTTTGCGTGGTCTTATAGCAATAATCTTAATTTTCTCCAACATCTAAAAAAAACTTAGTCCCCATCTCGAATCGCGATATAGCACCTAACAAAGAAATAGTACCGGAAAATGAACTGGCAATAAGCTTCCCGGAAATTCAGGATGTTCTGAAAAATAAAAGAAAAAACAGTCGGCAGGAGGTGCGGACCGCATCACCTATAAAATGCTAAAAGCACTCCCGGAACAATCCCTAAACAACTTACGTACCGCTCTAAACAACGCATTCCTCTCAAACCAGATACCGGAAAAGTGGCGCAAAATAAGAATTGTGCCCATACCGAAAGCAGGCAAAGACCTAAATGATTTTACCAACTTCATGCCCATAGCCCTGCTGTCGGTCCTCCTGAAATGCATTAATTTAGTAATTAAAAATAGGCTCACGGACATGCTAGAGGAGGCCGATATTCTCCCCAACTACTCCTTCGTGTATAGGAAAAGGAAATCTGCCACGGTGTGCACAAATTGTTTGCTTCATGACATTAGAACTCTGAAAAGTGAAGGTCTTAAAATAACAAATTTAGTAATGCATACAATTGCGTGAGTCTGGTCAAACTTAGGAAAGCTCTAGAGGATGTGGACAGAAATATGTGATGGGTTGCCTCAGGGCAGCAGTCGGTCTCCGGTACTGTTCAACGTATACACCAGACACCAGGCATGATATTGGAGAAATCTTCACCAAAGTTTACCAATTCGCAGACGATTTCATTCTTTTATCGGCTCATAAAGACCTGGGTCAATCGCTTGCAAATTTACAGAGCAAAATCAACACATTTAGGAAAAGTGCGATGATTTAAATCTAACAATAAATCTTGAGAAAACAACTGATGTATTTTGCAATGGGCAACCAAAAAACTTTTCAACCTGACTTGCAATAATCAAACTCTGGAGCAAACACAATTCATAAATTTTCTTGGGACGCGAATAAGCGCCTCCCAAGCTGTCAGTGAGCACTACTCTGAGGTTATAAAAAAATCTCAAAAAAATTCAAATTTGTTTAACTGTATCACGGCCGTTAAAGCAGGGCTACATCCTAAAGTTTCTCTAAATCATTACAAAGCAATATGCTGGATTTCCACCAGGCATTAAATGGCAAAAATGACAAATGACAAAGTCGGGCATTAAAAAATAATCGTGTCATTACATTAAAACAATAGTCACTAAGTTCATTTCCACATGGCATTATTCATTTCCACATGGCATTATTTTAAATGGCATACATTTTTTGTCATTTCAATGGAAATCCAGCAATAGTGAAAAGTAAAATTGAATTCAGCCGTACTGCAATGACCAATTGAGCAAAGACCGTCAATAAAAAAATTCAGACCTACCAGAAAAGTTTCCGCAGAAGAAGTCTTGGGCTAAACCCAGCAACCCCTATCCCGCTATTATACGCCTTAGCCAATGAACTCCCGCCCAGTGAAAGAGCAAGATGGCTCACTGCAAAAGAAATTATGAATAATATTGTGACTGATTAATCCCTCAGGGATCAGCTTTACGGCAATCCCAGTGTTAACTCTAGTTACAGTCTCATTTTCAACAGGTTCAGGCACATCTTCGACGAACTAAACATAACTGACACCACGATACCGACCAACTATGTAAATATAATCACGGAGACCTTAAAGGACGAGAAGTCAACTCTCCCGGACGAAACCACTCGAGTGACGTACCACCATATATGTAATACTTCTATATTGATAGTAAGCTAACATCTCAATGTGTAAGCATTCCGAAATCAAAGCGAGACAGTCTAGTACTGTTTTTGTCAATGTATTGTGTACTTGAGTGCCGTTTTTGTAAATGTGTCGTGTACATCTTTATTTATAAACGTATGTGTTCCTTTTCTTTCGTACGTGTTTATTGATATATCTGTACTGTAGTGTTTTCGGACGGTACTAGCTCTTACTGCCAATATAGGAGTATTACATATATGCGTACCACCAACTGATACACGACAACGAAAATGCAAATTTTCGAATTCTGTTTACGGACGCATCCGTGGGCGGCAGCACAACAGGGATTGCAATTTTTAACCCTCAAGACAACACGGAGCATAACTTTAAGCTTGAGTTCCGCGCTTCTTCCAGCTTTGGTGAAACCATAGCCATTTTGAAGGCCTTGGAACTAGCTAGAGAATTAAGATATGGAAAAGATGCAATCTTCTCGGACAGCCTGATAGCCTGCCAATTATTAAAAAAAAAAAAAATCCAACCAAAACCATTTAATTGTAAAGATCCACATCCTAATAAGTGAGGCAGACTTTGACAGGGTAGCAATAATCTGGACACCCAGCCATAAGCGAATCGTAGGAAATGGAAGAGCCGATCAGGTAGCTAAAAACGCTGTTAACTCAAATAACATACTACATTTTAGACTTACTAAAGACCAAGCACGCAGTAAGATACGGAACGAAATTGAAGAAGACTGCGAATAAACCCAATTTCTTTGCACAGATCTTCCCCACTAAACCGAAAAGACCGTGGTTCTATCGTTCCCACGACAGTCGGGTCTACGTAACCGGAACGACCCAGATTTATATCTGGCCAAGGACTGTCACTCCAGCAACACTCCCCAAAAAGTCTTTGGGGAATTTGTATGCTGCTACAACACCAACAACAACCGTGGTTCTATAGCAAAAAACTTGAACCTAGGGAAACAAAAACTTTAAATAGTATACTTGCTGGATGTACATACATATGACAGGGAATACCTGTGTAGGATCAAGGTTCTGAACTCCAACATCTGCAGATGTGGACTTAAGTACAGCTACCTGCACCAGACGTTTCAATGTCCACTCCTTAGGCACGTTCGAGAGGACTTCACAATATTCAGTCAAGAATCAATTTTTTATGATATACTTCACAATTGGGATTATAGCAAGATCACTCAACTATCAATTTTTTTTTTAAAGCACACTAAGCTCACTTGATCAAGAAGCATCAAACTGCGCAAACCGAGGCGCATTCATTAAGAGCTTCTGTTGCTACGCGTTCATGTAGCTAAAAGAGATTCAACTACAGAATCAGAGGAATAACCTGGCGTTTAAGGAACTCAGTTTCCTGCCAACATTACCCAAAACCCCACACAAAAAAAACTCGTAAAAGCATCGTAAAGCTCGTAAATTTACAATCCTCGTAAAAGAACTGTCAAAATTTGTATGGAGCTAAGTTTACGAGCCCCTCGAAAAATTACGAAGCAAATTTGATGCGCAAACGACCTCGTAAACTTCAGTGTTGCCGAGGGGCCGCAAAATTTTTCCTAAAATGTACGATAAAATAATGAAAATAAAGGAAAAAAATAATAAGCGAATAAAATGAATGAATTTCATCTACCAACTTTATTGACTTAGGTTTTCTGATAAATTTCGGCATTTTTAATTGTATTTCAGCCAAGAGTGATAGAGACAAGCCGGCGGGATGTTATGGAAAATACTACGGAATAAAAATTGCTTCACAAAATCCTGGTGGATCTGTCAAACTGTCACTTTACGAACGTATTTACACCCTTTCACATAGGGAGCGTTCCCATAAAAGCCTCGTAAACTTACGAGTTTACTCGTGACTTTACGAGTTTAGGGGAATCCCCTAATTGTTTTTTGAATTATGTCGTTATTGCGGAATATAGGCATGTTAGTTGAGCAGAAAGCTATAGCTTTGTTTCTTAACAGATAATTATAACAAATTATCACTAATTTCTGCTGGAAAGCGTTCCTTAACTCAAAAAAACTAGCAGAAACTAGCTGCTCTCTCTCGTTCTTGCGCTCTTCTATTTTTGGCTCTCCTGTAAAATTTTTACTAGCAGCTGTCAAAATTTCTATTTCTATATTTTCTAGGTGCAATCCCGTATTCCCCGGACTCCGACTAGTAAAACTGTCAAAAAATAAAAATTCGCTCAGAGCGAGAGAGTAACATTGAACAGTACGGGATCGCTTTCTAGTAAAAAAATGGTAACTTCTGTCAACTTCAACATTTTTTGCTTATTTTGTATGTAAACACACTCTGCTCACACATGTAAATAACCAAAAATACTTTCAAATTCATTAGAATCCACTTAAGCAAGTAATTTAATACTTTTCAACATGAATTAGCAGAGTGCACTTTTCCTTTGTTTACAATTTAGTTGCCAAACACACTACAGCAGATCGTTTGACACATTTACCAGAATTTACCAGCAAAAAATTCTCGGACTAAAACTGGTAACTTCTGACAGAGAGAGAACCGTATTAACTCTCTTTTTTGCCCTCTCAATAGTCAGAGAACCGAGTACGGGATCGATTTCCAGTAAAATCTGACTGATTCTGACTATTTCTGACTAGTCCGGACTCGTACGGGATCGCAACTTATATTGTCAAATACACCGACCAGCTGATTACTTGCTAGTTTCTGCTAGTTTTGCGTTTCTTTACTTTTTCGTTACTTCGCTCTCTGTGAGCGTAATTCTTTCAATTTTCTCATTCTTCTTCTTCCTGATAGTTATCTGCTAGAAAAGAAATGAAACAAAGCCTATATCTAAGCAACTACGGTGTGGGTTTTATATAATAGATACCCTGCTATAATACTTGTTTACTAAGTTGGGTACAAGGAAAGCGTTTTACTGTAAAATAATTTAATTGTAAAGTAGAAAACAAATCTACCTTTTCATATTTTCGACATCCTTCTAAAACCAACAAATATCTGCAAGCATAGTTGTCCTTAAAAGCTAAAAGCAGTGATATGCGATTTTTCTACCATCATTAACCGCTATTCAAAAAACAAAGTAACGAAAGCAAGGACGTCTAAGGTAAAGTATGGAATGTGAAAAGAGCCAATTATGGCTTATAAAGAAAAAAAGAGAAAAAATACAAAATGAGAGTGAGGTTTAGGTAGAAAGAAATGAAAAGCAGAAATCAATAAATGCGAAAAATCGTATGCGCAGACTTGAGTAAGTGTCTAGAGCTCATCCCTAGGGTAAGGCGGTTCTTTGCAAGAGCAAGTGAAAACCTGTTCGACCTTCTCCATGCCAGGCAACACGGTAATAGGTGAGACGAGACGGTTGCTCCATTCCTAAAAGAGTTAAACAGCAAAATTAGTTTTGAAGGAATATTGGCTCTTTGATATAATAAAATGGACTAGATGCTTTTGTTAGTCGAAATATTAACGTAATTTGTGATGCAAAAAAATTATTGGAAAAAAAACAAGTAAGTCTAAGTTCGGGCGGAGCCGAACATTAAATACCTTTCCGAAATCTACCGCTACATGGTAAGCCGGGGTGTATCAATTTTGAGTAAATTAGCCTCCTTAAATTTCGAAATATTGAAGTTTCCAGCATTTCTGAAATTTACCGTTATATGAAAAGCGGCCGTAATTTTTGTCCGATTTCAATAATTTTCAACGTTTTTCTTCTATGTGGCAAGCACGATAACCACACCGAGTTTGGTACAAATTGGTAGAACGGTTACCGAGATCCATATATGTGATCATAAGTGGGCGCCGCCCCGCCCATTTTCCAAAATAAATTTTATCATAAACGTGTTTCTTGGTAAAGAATTGTTGCAAGCATAAATTTTGAATAAATTAGCTTTAATATTTACTGATTTATCAAAGAGTTCGTATTTCTCTAAATTACCGTTATATGGGATGTGGGCAGCGGTTACCAAGATATACACATGTAACCATAAATGGGCGTGGCTACGCCCATTTTCCATATATTTTTAATATTCTTATTTTTCGTCTAAAACTTAATATCAATTTTGAGTGAATAATCTTCAGTAGTTACTGAAAATTACCGTTATATGGGAGGTAGGCGTGGTTATTGTTCGATTGTGCCATTTTCAATACCATCCGTCCTACGCCAGAAAGAAGTGCACTACCAAGTTTCTTTAAGATATCTCAATTTTTACTCGAGTTATCGTGTGCACAGACGGACGGGTGGACGGACGGACAGACAGTAACCGCTTAATCGATTTCTCTTTTCATTCTGATCATTTATGTATACATTTGTCTATATCTATCTCGATTCGTTTTGAATGCTACAAACAACCGTTATGTGAAAAAAGTTATAATACCCTTGTGCACAAGTGCGCTCGGGTATAATTATTTCATGGTAAATGAAACGGAATTAAGTACCGCTTACCTTAAATAACGCCATGTGATAGCAGTATATGTTTTGTGGCATCAGGTTTTTCTCCACAAATTTACGGGCCTCAGCCACGATCTCACGCGCACGGTCTTCATTTTCTCTGGCCCACTGTAGACGTTCAATTAAATCGCTTAAATCACGCTTGAAGGGCACATAGTGTTTAAAAGGCGTTAGCTTGCTGTAGAAATGTTCATAGAAGGTAGACATCTGTTTGAAAACCAACGAATCACCGGCAAGCAAATAAGGAAAGCGATAGGCAGCTACCACGCCATCCACATTTAACTGGTATTTGTACTACAGGAAACAATTTAACATTTTAACATATATTAAGTTGCTAATATTTACTAAAAGTTACCCGAAAGAACTCCAAAAACGATATATGCGGAACTTTTGGGCCATACTTGTCCTCCTCGTTGCGGAAGAAAAAGAAATTTGTGAGTGATGCATTAATCAGTTCAGGATATTTACGCGCCAGCTCAATTAATTCGAGTCGCTCCCGGCGGGAATCTCTACCTCGCCAAAATGCCTTGTTCTCTTTTATGTCCCAAGGGTATTCGCTCTTTTGCACCGACAACATATCTAAAGTTACACGTCCCATATTTTCCAAAGTTGATTCAGTAATATCGTAAGTGGGTAGCACTATATCATACGAGTCATCACTGCCACACCATGAGAATATCGGGTACGGGCCAGAGGTGCGCTGTTGTCCACCTTTCTTCGAAAGCGGCCAATCTCCCAAATTCAAATAGAATTCCATATCTGGCAACATAACAACACGTCCCAACGCCAATAGTGTAGCGTCCATGAACATTTTAAATCCTGTGTACTTTCCGTAGCATTGACGCCATACTTGCTGCTGCTTTACCACATAATGGCATAACGACACACTCTCTGGTTGGTTGTAACGCCTTAAAAGGTTCTCGCGTATAGCGCTAAAGTTCACACGCTTGAACGAATGTAAGTCCCAAACGATTTGTTTATCGTCCAAATAGGAGGGACAACTATTGTGCAACATCCAGAGATTTAGCTCTTGCGGGCAGTAACAGCGTTCTGAATACACTTTATTGTATATGACATACGGTGATTGCGCCACATGCGAACCATTGTAGCGCACCTCTAGCTCTACTTGATCGCACCAGTCGGCAATGGTGTAGCGCACAATTGAAGAGCCATCACCGCGATCGATTAGATTCACGTTACACCGACATTTACCATGCGGTGAATTGCCTTTGACAGACACTTGAAAGTCTTGAGGGGGCGATTGCTCAAATCTGCCTCGAAAACAAAAAAAAATTAATTACTCAACACACGAGTGTAAACTTTCACTAATTATGCAAAATATGCCACTCACTTGCGTCCGTTTTTGTCCACTGCGTGTATGAAGAAATAACGTGCGGGCAAGACAACTTCATCCGGCTTCAAGCCGGGTCCCCACACCAGCGTTTTTTCTGCATCCACTATCCGTCTTCCCTCAAATGAGTAAACCAAATCGGAAAATGTTAATATTGCAGCCGGTAGAAAGGTATACAACAACATTTCACGACCTTTTCTTCTATCTATTAAATTTTTTATGTAGATATGCGTTCACAAAAAGTTCCAAACAAATAGCAAACAGCCGCTGATAAGCAATAGTGATGTGCTGAATTGCCGGTTACACTATACTCGGTACCCAATACTTCCTTTTCAGTACCCAGTACCGATTCTATACATACATACATTAAACGTTCGCTATAATAAGCTGTATTCTTTTACAAATTATCCAGTAGCAACATGCGATCGCTGACACGATCTGTCTTACCAGAGCGCCATGTAATTTTTTCTGTAGTTGTAGCCCGTAGCGCAGAAATCTGCGGAATTTAAATTTTTCCGTGTCTGCTGATGTCTTCCTTCTATAGATGGTTGCCACTTCGTCAGTTTTGCAGATGGTAAAAAAGTTATAGGTTCCTATACCAAATACGTTAAAATATTTGAAATTTACTATTGAATAAGGTTTTTTGTTGAAAACTAAGTAGTTTATATTTAGCTATAATCTATTATAGCACGAAAAATTGTAGTTGAGAAGGTAAGTTTATGAAAAGGCATTGATGAATGGCAACACTGTAGTAAGCAACACTGAGGGCTCCAGTAATAGACAAAATTCTGCGTATACAACAGACTGGGTTTAAGTATACGTTCTGCGTTCTTGACAAACTTAAGCTTAACACATATATGTAATACTCCTATATTGGTAGTAAGAGCTAGTACCGTCCGAAAACACTACAGTACAGATATATCAATAAACACGTTCGAAAGAAAAGGAACACATACGTTTATAAATAAACATGTACACAACAAACACCCAAAAACCGCACTCACGTACACAATATATTGACAAAAACGGTACTAGACTGTCTCGCTTTGATTTCGAAATGCTTTCACATTGGGAAGCTAGCTTACTGCCAATATAGAAGTATTACATATAGGGCTTAACACCACCTTTTATAAATTCGCCTTGGTACCGAGTGTCGAAAGTATTGGATACTTTTTAAATCGGTTCCGAGTATCGATAAATACTTTAAAGTACCGACTCAGCACAACACTAATAAGCAAAAATCTACATCTGACGTGAGTGTTGCCAGACGATAACCAAAATAAAAAGAGTCGGGTATTTTAGCTTATACCATGTACGAAATTTTTGTTATTATTCTTGAAAGAAATATTTAAAAAATTGTATTATTATTTTTGTTACTTTTAGGGCTTTTCTTGTGTTGACCTCCTTAACGCTGGTATGAGGCAGTCTGGAGTATTCTACTTGCAAATCCGTGGCACTACTTATTGGTTCTTAAAGGTCTATTGTGAGCAAGAAATTACCGATGGCGGCTGGACGGTAATTTCTTATTGGAAATTTTAAACAAAAATCTCAAAAAAATACTAACAACCCATTTGCTCTCTTTTATTTCAGGTCATTCAAAGGCGAGATGATTTCGGTGAGCCGCGTGAGAACTTCAATCGTGATTGGGCTGACTACAAAAATGGTTTTGGCGATCCAGCGAAGGAGTTCTGGCTAGGTAATGAGAACATTTATATGCTAACCAATAATGAGGACTATGCGCTGCGTGTTGAGCTAGAGGACTTTGAAGGCAATAAGAGGTACTTATAAAATTTTATGTACTGGAAACGGGCTTACACAAATTAAAATCTAAATGCAAACTTTTTATTAAAGATATGCACAATATTCGCATTTCAAAATCCACTCGGAAGCTGATTATTACAAGTTGGAAATCGATGGTTATGAAGGAAATGCTGGCGATTCGCTCAATGATCCATGGTACGGTTCCAACAATAGTCCTTTCTCAACATACAATAGAGACAATGATCGCAGCTCACTGAATTGTGCTAGCATGCTCAAGGTGACGATTTTTCTTATACTAAGTGTATTTTCAAAATTATAATACGTTATATTTTGCGTATTTATTAGGGCGGCTGGTGGTGGAAGTCTTGCGGTCGTGGCCTAAATGGTCTTTACTTGCATGATCCGCAAGATTTAACAGCACGACAAGGCATTGTTTGGTTCCGCTGGCGCGGTTGGGACTACACACTAAAAAAGGCCACCATGATGATTCGTCCTCGGGCCCCTCAACCTATGGGTAGTACAGTATCTACGTCATAGGCTAACCTATTTCGAGGCGCTAAGTTGTAGCCAAGAACGACAACTGTTTTGAAAGCACCTAAAATCAACCGCAAACTAGTTTCAAATTAAATAGTTTTAAAAGCATAGTGGCATTTTAAAAATGAAACTTTTTTCATGTAGACAGGCATTTTCCAGTTCAGTTGAAACACCCTGTGCA